TAGGTAGCCTGTTCTATATGTGAACTTTTCTTTCACAGAGGTTGCATAATGTTACTTCTGAATGAACACGCTAATGGCATGAAGGTATCTTGACAAACGCTCTAAAACAAATTAATGCGGTTTTCTAAACCTGATGCCAAGTTTGAAATCGAAATTTGCGAACGCTTAGGTTTTAGGCTTGGAAGTCATGTCCTTACTGTACATTACTTCTGGCATGCCAACAAGAGTATGGCATATTACCCTACCCGTGATACTCCTAAGGAGCAAAAATAAACCTGCTGGTAGTGCTTTCCTTTGAGAGGGACTTTCACTGCATACCTTGGTATTTCAACATGGAATTTTGGCCAAAAAAAAAAAATGTTTTGGTAAAACATACCGCGTTTGATATGTCTAGTGGCGTGCACTGCCACTGAGTTTGGAGCTGAGTTTCTTTGTTTACAGCAGGGATGACAAAGCCCTGTGCAGTCTGAGTGCCCCGTGCGCAGGGTGCTGTGCAAACAGCTGGAAAGGCAGTATGTGTGTCACTCGCTCAACAATCGCTTCCCATCGTAAAAGTATAAAAATAGTGCACATCTGTTCTTTTCCATGGGTGTTTTCGCTCTGAAAGCTCTGATACCATCTGTGAATCTGGCCTGCTATTCCTTCACTTGCACGTACTGCCAAAACTCATCCTGCCTGTTTCCTGGTATGGGTAGAATGGGTCTGAGATCCATCCTACTGGGAACTCCTCATAGTCCTGAACTTGGCCAGTCTAAGTAGAGGAATGCTTGTAATGAGGAGACTGTATGGTCTGTGCCCATTAGAGTGGCTGAATTATCTTTCTGAGAGCTTTGAAGCAAGTGTACCCTTTGCAGGGCTGTTTGAGTGTCCAGAAAGGTACGGTGAAAGTTTACAGGAAACTGATGCAGAACTCTGTGAAAGATTCGGGATGTAATGTCATGGCATTATTATTTTGCCATTATTTTCTTTGAGTTCTTTCCCACCTCTGGTTGACAGGAGAAGTTGTGATTTTTGTATGCGCTGGAGAGAGTCTCTGATAAAACCTTGGAACCCCACAAAAACTCCTTGTAGTGTTTTAAACAGATGCATACTTCTCCAGAGCCCATGTAGGCATTGCTGGAGTTTCTTCGTTGTCGGAAGCTGTACCATAGGCAATATTTAGCAACATAAGATGAAAGAAAATTTCTTATGTTAAAAGTTGTAGTTTACAAACTGCTTGTAAATTTGCTTGCAATTTATCTTAGTCTTCAGAACGGTTCTTCGTCTCTGCCATCTCTGGCATTATGGCTAAGTAGATTTTATTACCTCAGGGAAAACCAACATGAGAGAATAAAAATAAAATGGGTTTCTTCTTCCTGACATGAAGAACCAACTTACAAGAATACAAATTGGGTGTGGGTGTGCGTGTGTATGTATTGGGGGGGAGGGCGCTTTATTTTCAGTAATAAAAAGTAATTATATAGTTTGCATAAATAGCCGCAGGGATAACCAGAGTGCGTCAGACATCCAGTTATGCATGTGTTAAAGGTTAATACTATTTGTTCTCAGTACATTTAGTCTTTGCAAATCATGTGCTGACATGCATCCCATTTTGGTATCTGTTCACACACTCCGGTAATGATGCGTAGAGCAGGAACTCATGCCTGTGCCATTCAGTACTATTTAGTAAATTGAACTTTTGTATAAAGGTCTTAGAAAATGGCAAGGCAGAAAATGAATGTCTTCTTGCTGCTAATTTTATCTTCCACCACACACTCCTTTCTGGAGATTAAAGCATTATGAATCTATTCACTACTGAAAGCTATTTCAACTTTCATAGCACATATCAGGATGCAGAAAGCAAGTACATGTTCACAGCTGTTCCTCGGGTCTCTCTGCTGGAAATACAACCTGTTAAGCTGCTACGTTTCTGCTTAAAATAATGAAATAAAACAATTAACTGGTGAATCCTCATTAAATACAAATACTGAAATAAATAGTACAGCTAGGTAATTGACTGCATATGTAAACTAGCTGTAGATAATTGACATGACCTTCATTTAACGAGCCTCCTTCCCATTAGTGGAGACGACCGCCACAATTATGTGCCCTTATTCTAGCAGTAATTGTATGGACTTTATTGAAGTACAAACTAGGTCACGTCTTCCCGAGATCTGGTCCATGGTGGGTGACCTCTTTTCATTGCTTCAGCTTTGCTGTGCTGCATGGGAGAAGGAAGGATGGTCTTGCAGGCATGAGAATGGATGTTGTTCGGGAAACGAGTCTCAAATGTTATTTCTGACAGAGACGTCTTGCCTGACCTGAGGGAGTAGTTTAAGGCTAGGTCTCAAGGAGTCTAGCATACATCTATTTTAAATAGCTTACATCTATTTTATACAAGTTAGTAGGTGTATACAACAGTCTGTGGGACAGCAACTGAATGAAGATTCCCTCGTCTAGAGAAGTCTTTGATCTTTTATGCCTAGTGACATAGCTGAACAGGGGGACTGCAAAAGCTGTAGCCTTTGGTTGTCATTCCTGGAAGGCGGGGAGTAGAGACCTAAACCTCCTACAGCTGAGAAGGGAGGGGATGGATGTGTGGAAGGACTATAGATTGAAGCTATATCATTAGTCAATTTATTTGGATTTTTCTAGCTGCATGTCTATCTAAAAGCAGCTGTGAGTACTCTGGCTGGCATCCAGCTGTATTTACGCCCTCGGAACCTGTGGTGTCAGTCAGGTCACTCCAGTTAAGAAATACTCAGCACTGGTGAGCCTCTGTGGGAAATAATTGCTCAGTCTGCCAGGGTAGCATCAGGCATGGGTGTACAGGAGTGCTGAGCTATCTCCATGCAAAGCCTTGTAAGGGTGGAGGAGCCCAGCATGGAAAGGAGCAGCACCTTGCTCAGCAGTAGCATATTGGGAAAACAGGAAAATACAGCTTTCTCCCATGTTTCCACCCTGGTTCCGCTGCCATGCAGGGTGACACGGTGACTTCGTCATAATTGGAAGGCTGTGCATAATCTGTTAGTGTTTGGGGTTTACAAGTCAGTTATTGTAGCAGGAGAGGTGGCATCTTTAATCTTTGCAGTATAATGAAAGGATGAGAGTTGGGGAGCAGAGGAAAAGGACTGGAACCTGCCATCCAAAGTGTTTCCAGTGACCTTTTTTGTGCTGTGTTGGGATATTAATTCTGCCTCACTAAGTAAGAGATGAACCATGCGTTCATGAATCAGTTCAAAAGTAGCAGAAAGGTTGTGTGTTTCTACCTGTGGAGTGAGATTTAAATTATTCTGCTATACCATATTAAACTAGAAGATTTTGAGCAGCTGCTACTAGAAATTGCTATGGCCTCTAAGATGGAGATATTTCTTAGGTGTTAAAATATTACTTCCTCATATTAAATCACTTGATATCATTTTTCTGCCAAAGACAAGGCCTGTGTATATTGCTCAAGTCACTGTCAAGATAGAGAGAAGAATCTCTTCATGTCCTGCTTGCACATATTCGGCTTAGTCTGGGACACATTTACAAAAAAGTAGATGTTTGATCTGTGCTTGCTAGCAATATTCTATGTGTCTGTGCTGCTAAAGCTTAATTTAACATACTCTTCTACTGTTATAAACATGGGGAAAAGGGGTGGCTTTTAGGGGGACATATTTTCTTGTGTATTATCCGTATGTTATGTGGATAATGGCTGTCTTCAAGTTGTTGTTTATCACATCCTCGTTGTACGCTCTTTCTTTCTACTCCAGAAAATAGTGGCAGTTGTATGTCATTGGGTGGGATGTAAACTGATCAAGGTTGACAGCAGTTTCCTTCCGAAATGGAAAGCAAAATTGATTAAGGAAGATTAATTTAACATGAGATATAAAGTACTGTTAGATTTGGTGACCAACCAGCCATTGGTGGAGGATGCTGAGTGCTTATTGAAGTCAATTGGTGAGGTTTCTCTGCATCTCTCTGTCCTCTGGTCATTCTTCTTGTAAGAAAAATCTATGAAAACCAAGTTGCAGGTCCACTATTCTATTTATTTCACATCCCTCCAAGTTCATTGCTGCCATGTGAAGTAAGCAGCCCAAAGACAATAGTGAAGGACGTGGCCTGGTCCAGGAATTCTTCCATCCTTTGTTCACCTACCTAAACTGAAAAGCAAAGGTTCAGCCTCCAACTGATGTACTTAGCTGATGGGTGCAAGCTTCTCCTTCTCTGTTTTGTGCTTCTCTTGGTGCCTCTTGTGTTGTCCGCTCTCTTTTTGCCCTGGAAGTCCTTTTGGGGTACTACGTGCTCAGACAGATTTTGTCCTCCGGAGTCAAGATATTGGCTGGGACCTCTGGGCACTACTCTAATAAAAATAACAGGAACTTGATTAGGAGCCAGAAGATCTGCGTTCTGTTCGCTGCTCTGGTGGTCACAAACTGTGATGTGGGTGTTTGGGTTTTTTTCCTTTTAAGTTTTACATAAAACAATTCTCAGAAGAGGGAGTGTATGAATATTATTAATTTTGTTGCCTGTCCCACTGGCTCTGCATTTGTATGCTAGCTGAACCACTTCTTCTCCCTCTTGTCTTGTCTCCCCTTGTTTGATAAAGGAAGACTGATAACCTTCTTTCTTGTGTCGTAAATCATCTCTTCAGTGTCTCTCTTCCTCCCCTTGGAGGAAGAAATCTGGTATTACTCCTTATAGAATGTTTTTAAAATCCTAGGATGAAAAAAATCTCCAAAATATTAATGTTCTGCATGGTTAGAGCAAACACTGTGTTCCTGTGAGTCACAGATGTCAGATTTGTTTAATCTTAATAAATCTATGCCACAATAACACTTTTAAACAGGAAGAGGGATGGAGGGATGAAGGAAGAGTGGTGCTGGCATAGAGAGGATTCTTAGCCAGAGTCTTGTTTAGTTGGGGGGCACGGACACAAACCCAAACACTTCCCACCCCTCGACTTCATTAAGTAAACTTTGAGACCTACATTTTGGGCACTGCCTTTCTAGTACATATTTCATTTTCTTTGTATGTTTTATGATAGATTGTCTTTCCATGTTCGAGTCTTAAGAGTAATAGTTTCCCACAGCATATTTGCAGGAGATGAAGTAAGGCTTTTTACATAGCACCCTGTTGGCAAACAGAAATAGCATTTACTCCAATGAGCGCTGCCAAGTATGAGGTACTTCCGAATGAACTTCAAAAGCTCTGAAACAAGCATTAGCTGCTGCTTCAAAAATGTGAACAATGCCATTGCTTTCTAGCAAGCAGAACTGGTGAGAGCGGGGATCGGAAGGAGGAAAAATAACAACTGGATGTGATGGATGTTATAGTAGCACTTGGGATCAGACAGAAAGCATAACTCTCTGTCACAGGCGGATTTTGGGGGGGGTGTGTATAATAGTACCTAAAGGTGTTCTCTGCACTTGAGGAGGAAAGAGTTTCCAACCTGAGGAACATAGTCTATGGAGACTCAGCAAAGTGCTTGGGAAGGAGCAGTCATACAAGCCCAAGCTGTTGGGAGTGCTGATAGGAGTGAGTTGTGCTGATTCCAAGCCTGGTGAGGAGTTTTCTTACCAGCACCCTTTCCAGGTACTGCCGTGCTCAATGAGGGCTGAGCTAAGCATGCATATAAGCCTCAAAGCATGGCCCAGAACATACGCAAGAACTTACAGCAGAATGTGAGAGAAACAGGCAAAATGCTAAGTTTCAGGTTGGCAGTAGAGCTGGTTGTGCTGCTGGTTTTCATGCTGGGTTCTGGCCTCTAAGTGGGTTTAAATAGATGCTTTGCCCCCTTGAGAACAGGAAGTATGGGGCTCTGGGAAAGTAGAGTACAGTGGTTCTGGTGCTGTCATTTCAGTCTAGCTCTTACCAGCTCTGTGATCCAGCAGGTCCCTCCATGGCATTCACATGATGCAAGCGATCTGTACAGCTCAAATTTAGTACACTACCCTTGACAATTTTCTCATTCTATATTTATGTGTACATATCTTCTACTTTTAGATGACCTGCTGAGACCTCAGAATTTGTATGGCCTATTCCTGTGTTTTGAAGGTTGCTTTCCAAAAAACAGATGCGATTTATCCTGGGGCTGCTCAGTCGTCTTGAGGATAGAAGGATGAAATATTTTTGGCATAGAGAGATCTTAAAAATCAAATATTTGCATTTGCACTTGAAATGGAAGTCTTGCCTTTCACACTTCCAAAGCTGTCTTTTACTGCTGCATGTTGCATTGCTAAACAGCAGTTTTGCTTCTGCTGTTACTTGAAGTAGTGAATAAATAAGGGGTCCACAAAGTATCTAATCTAATACTTACTACAGAAAGACTTTGGCATGTAAGAACTCGGACTTGCTGGTGTCAGTGTTGCCTAAGCTTCGGCATATGCTTTATCTGAAGCTCTAAATCAAAGAACCCCCTTGTACAAGGGTATGCTTTATCACCAGCAGTGGGTTGAGGCAGCATGCAGCAGATTTCTGCTGAAAATGCACAACGTCTCACAACAGCTCAGGTGAACTTTTATTACTACGTCCCTTTTAAACTAAATTATTTTTTTTTCTTGTTCTTGTCCTTAACAGTTCCACCAAGTGAGAAGAGTGATGACCATCCTTTTCCTTACTATGGTTATCTCATACTTCAGTTGCATGAAAGCTGCCCCGATGAAAGAAGCTAGTGTAAGAGGACAAGGCAGCTTGGCTTACCCAGGTCTTCGGACCCATGGGACTCTTGAGAGCCTAAACGGGCCCAACGCTGGTTCAAGAGGACTGACGTCGCTGGCGGACACTTTTGAACATGTCATAGAGGAGCTCCTAGATGAGGACCAGGACATCCAGCCCAGCGAGGAAAACAAGGATGCAGACTTGTACACATCCCGAGTCATGCTAAGCAGTCAAGTGCCTTTGGAACCCCCGCTGCTCTTTCTCCTCGAGGAGTACAAAAACTACTTGGATGCTGCAAACATGTCCATGAGGGTCCGGCGCCACTCCGACCCAGCTCGCCGCGGGGAACTGAGCGTGTGTGACAGCACGAGCGAGTGGGTGACGGCGGCAGAGAAAAAGACTGCAGTGGACATGTCCGGGGCGACTGTAACAGTCCTGGAAAAAGTCCCGGTACCCAAAGGCCAACTGAAGCAATACTTCTACGAGACCAAATGCAACCCCAAGGGGTACACAAAGGAGGGCTGCAGGGGCATAGACAAGAGGCACTGGAACTCCCAGTGCCGAACTACCCAGTCTTACGTGAGAGCTCTCACCATGGATAATAAAAAGAGAGTTGGCTGGCGCTTTATAAGAATAGACACTTCCTGTGTATGTACATTAACCATTAAAAGGGGAAGATAGTGGATTCGTGTTGTATAGATTATATTGAGACAAAATTATCTATTTGTATATATACATAACAGGGTAAATTATTCAGTAAAAAATTAATTTTATGGACTGCATGTATAACTGAAGTTTATACAGTACAGTGGTTCCACAATCTATTTATTGAACATATCCATGACCTGAAGGGGAACAAAAGTCATTTGCGCACAAGTTTAAAAAAAAGAAAAAAAAAAAGAAAAAAAAAAAGAAAAACAATCCTTTCTATATTTAACAGGAAAATTACGTTGTAGTTTTGTCAAGTTCCTATTGCTCTTGGCATATAAATAAAGAAGTATCTGAATAACAAAAAGACATCTTCAACAAACTATGTGCCTGACTACCAATCCTTACCTCCCTCGCTTGGGAAGCCATCCCGTATTTATTCTGCAAGTAAAAGTCTGCATTACATTCCTCGATAACATTGTGGTTTGTCGCCGTTGCCAAGAATTGAAAATATAAAAAGTTAAAAAAAAGAATAAAATTGCATGCTGCTTCAATTGTGAATTGATGATAAACTGTCCTCTTTCAGAAAAATAAATTGAACCAAAACATTCCGTTTACATTTTAGACAGTAAGTATCTTTATTCCTGTTAGTATTATATCTGTTTACTGCTTTTAACTTCTGATAGCGTTGGAATTAAAACAATGTCAAGGTGCTGTTGTCATAGTTTTACTGTTTCTCTTTTACTTTTGAACTCCCATCAGATTGAAAAAGAAAAAAAAAATCATTACCTTATTCTGGATTAAAAAAAAATTTGTTTTTTTGTATGTTGTGAAGGTGTTTGCAATAGCAATCCAACTACTGACAAAAAATAATAAAAAAAAAAAGAGGCAACTGAAAAGAATGGTGATGTTCCACTTCACATTGTTGAACTTCAGGCTTAAGGACAGCACTTATTAAAAACAAATTTGTTTTTTTGTATGTTGTGAAGGTGTTTGCAATAGCAATCCAACTACTGACAAAAAATAATAAAAAAAGAGGCAACTGAAAAGAATGGTGATGTTCCACTTCACATTGTTGAACTTCAGGCTTAAGGACAGCACTTATTTAACTGTATGGCAACATGCTTTTTTGGGTTATTTTCTTTTTTTTTTTCTTTTTTAATTTTTTATTTGCTGTCTTTTGAGACCTGCATTTGCTTATACCATGTTTGTTTGTGTTTGGGGTTTTATTTTCCCTTTCCTCCCTCTGGAAGGATGTTGGTTGTGATCTTTAAAGTGTTTCACTTAACATACAACTGGAGCTTGTCATATAGAAAATATTCTATCGAGTGTTGAGAGCAATGATTTTCATGTAATAAAAGACACCGTGCTTGGAACAAATGTCTTGGTGAAGCACAACAAGAATGTCACTAGAAAAAGGGCCTAGAAAGGTGATGGTGGATCTGAAATCAGGTTGGTCGTGGGACTGGGTAGCTCAGCCGATTCAGGGAAAAAATAAGAGTGTTTTGGGTTGACTGAGGCTGTCTGAATCGTAGTTGGCACTGAAATGTGGTCCTGCGTGAGAGCTTTGCCTTCTGCTCTGATGGCCTTGCCCTCCAGAGCGTGGTGGGCAAGTGGCAGTGGCATCCCTGCCCCCAGGAGCCCTTGGGATGGTGCTGGGGAAGGAGGCAGAGGGATGCCCTGCCTCTAGCTGAGAGCAGCGACCATCTATGTTTGTGTGGCTCCCCCTCTGCTGCCAGCCTTATTTCATGAAGCAAATACTGGTGTAAAAACTACTCTTGAAGTACGAGAAGAGCAAGTGCAGGAGTAGTTGGCTTAACGTTGACTGAGGTTGTGATGGATGGATGTAGCCCCACGCTCCCCCTCTGGCTCCCCTGGCAGATGTATTTCTGAGAAGGCAGGTTTGTGCTGCCTACGGTGGGCAGGGAGGCAGAAATAGCTCATTAGCGAGCTCACTGAAGGCAGAGGCTCTATTTGTAATTCCTTTAGATGAAGAAAAGTAGCTGAACGAAGAGGGAAATGCTGCAAAATAGAACTACTCCTGAGTGCTGCAGAACCTGCGTTAGTCTGCCTTGCTGTTCACGTTAATTAAAAACCTGGACTGGGCAAAGCTCGTTTGAAACATGATTCCCCCATGATAATTCTCTTTGAAGAGCGTATTTAACACCAAGTTTATGTCATTACTAGTAGAAACGTATGGTGGAAACGAACAGAGCCACCATCAAAATCAGGGTAGAAGGGCTTCCCCTTCCCCAGGATAATGGGCTGTCAAAGGAGGACCTTCCCAGCCACACAGTGAGATCCTTCTGTCGGCCACAGGCGCAGAAGAGAGGGTTGTGTGTCCCACCTGAAAGCTTCAAGCTTCCACCTTCCCAATCAATTGCAGATATTCAAGTTCCCATATAGAAATCAGAAATGAAAAAAAAAAAACAAACCAAAACCAAAACCCAACTTACTGAAATGTCTCAAAACTTCAACTGAAGTGTTCTTCATGCAAATTAAATGTCGGTGTAATGGAGAATTTCATTCCACTGTGGCCAGTACCTGTATGTGTATTATAATTCTTTACATTTAATAACCCAAACTTGGCTCAGGAGCTATTCTCAGCAATATCCCGAAACTACAGCAGGGGGGTGGTGTGAAGGTGGCTCCCCTCAAAACCAGGGCTGGTGGTTTAGGAAGGGGAAAGGATTATGCCAGTGAGTGAATAACAAACCGATTGCTCATCTAGGCTGAAAAAAAAAAAGCTAGCTAGGACACGACAGTAATCAAATTCAGACACAGGAATGAAATAATTCCCAGTTCAAATAAATTTAATTTCCGACAGAGAAGTGTTAACGCATAAATCGCGCTAGAAATAAAAGTTCCTCCTTTTCCAAAGTTAACGCCGGCTATTTTCTTAACTCCGAAATCCTCCCCTGGCGGGGGTGAGGATGCTGCTGATGCGGTGGCGTTAAACCGGGGGGTGGCAGGGGCAGAGGGGGAACGGGCAGCCCCGGGTGGGTGGGGGACGAAGGGATGGAGCTGGGAGACCCAGCGGAGGAACCCGTGTCCCGTAGCTGCATCCGAGTGATGTTCCCCATCACACGCCAGTTCTGTGCCTATCCATGCGACATGGAGCTGGCAATTAAATGCAGTCCCACGGCTCTCACCTCGTTTCAATTAAAACAGAGACTGGGGGGAGGTGGGGGAGAGGGAGGGGCCGGTTTTCTTTCATGTCACTTAATTAAAACTCTTGCTGTGGTCTGTTTGTGACAAAGGTATACCATGCATGTCAGCAGGCCTAGTGCTGTGTTCAAGTAAAGACTCTTGCAACTGTAAGTTAATGTCTGTGGCCTTGTTCTCTATTATTCACCTTGTGTAACATAAATATTTATTGTATATTTATATAATTTTATGGTTTTTGGGAAAAAAACTGAAATTGGCATTAAAATTTAAAAGCAACTGCGTCATATTGTAAATATAATTAAGCTATATTTAAGTGTACTGATTAACATAATATATGTTTAACTATAGAGTTTTTTATGTTTTTAAATATATTTTCAAAATATATATATATAAAACTCGGGGTTTTTTGGGGGACCATGTGACTCTTTTCTCTAATTGTAAAACAAACTTGAGTTTTACTATAAAGATGTGTGTTCTTTGTTTTAAAACAATTTTTACTTTATTTTAGCAATAAAATCTCCCTCGGAGGGCAGACAGCCCCCTGTTTCACAGCCGGACAGTTAGCACTGGGAGGGGAGGGGTGGCAAGAATTGACTTTCCATAAGAGTTGGGGATACTTGCAGAATGATGTATTTCCATTTAATTCTAGCACGTAAGTCCTCATGAGACCAAAAACCCACGAATGACACATATATGTGATTTTATTCAGCTGTAAAATAATGAACGTAATGGAAGTGAGGGGGAGGGGTTACTAACCTTAGTAACTAAAGGGTGAGCCATAAACTCAATAGCTATAGTCCAGTCATGTATCTGATTTTTAAACGGTGTCATAGATATTTATGTCCCTGAGCTGAACTTATTTATGACCCCATGGAGTACTAGGAGTGGAATTCCCTGGATTTAACATATTGTTAGCATTTCTAAAAGAATATTCTCTGCTCCAACTGCCAAGCCTTTGTATATTTAATTATCCCGTAGCCCTAGAACAATCAATAAATCTTCATGATGAATAGGAAACTTTCATCTAACTTAAAGGGGGGAAAAAAAACACAAACCCAAACTCTTTAAAAAATTCCATCGCTGCGGATTTCCCAAGAGCCCAGCACCAGCAACGTCTCCAGGAGAACTGAGGAAGTGGTGCTTCTGCAGATTATCATTTATATTAAACACACATGTGTGCACGTTGCTTGCTTTATTGTTGTCTTAAAGTAAGCTAACAGAAGCTGTAACAGATACTCAAACCATGGGCATGTGGAAGGATGGGGCCGCGGTATTACCACGCCACGTGCCTGCTCCTGGGACCCTGCCTCCTCCCCAAGGTCGCATCAGCTTATTTTCCTGTTAAATACATGGCATAGGTACCTAGGGAATGAAATGGACACCCTCAAAATACATATTTGAACTAGAGAGGAAGATACCTGACCTTCCTAGCTCCGTAGGGGAAAGAAAGATATTCCCGTAGCTTTTATCACTTAGGGCAAAAATAAAGTTATCTAGCTAGACTTTTAAATTACTCAGCCAGAAAACAATAGCAAGCAGTAAAAGAAGATTTGTTTTGAAGAGAATATCAAGGCTACACTGAAGTGCAATGAGAGGGGGCATTTATTTCAATTTGTCTCAGGTGGATCCAATAAACTGCTTCCACAGGCTACTTCTAATTAAGATCTCATTGAGAAGGCACCTTCTGGCAGGACAATTAAAATCAAAAAGGAATGGATGCACTTGTTTGGAGTAAATACAAAGAGCATCAAGGCCTTGCCTTACGAAGCAATTTTAAAGTTAAGAAAGTTCTGCAGGGGATGTGTTTTAGAAGAGAATAAGATGTTTCTGAACCATTTTTTTTTTCAGTGGGGAATTTTTAAACTTTTTTTTAACCACTTGCTACCCTTTTGAGTAGTCAAAGACTGTGGTGCTGATATAAATCAATGGAATTAAACTGATACCTTTTTTTGATGCCTGTGGGAGAAGAAGGCTTGGAGATGGCACGAGTGGGTCTAGCTTTTCCAGGCAAGATGTGGATTCACCTGTGGAATTTGAGATGCTTCTGGAAATCAAGTCTTTTAAATCCCATCAGACAGTGGCAG